GGCTTGTGCATTTCAGTCCCCAACTTCAGCTTTTTGTCCATTTTTAGTCCCTTTTCTTCCTTTTTCGCCTCGTTCTTCTTCCAATCGGGGTTTTAGCCTACAAAAGTGAAAATTACACAATTATGCATAGAAATATACTCAATATCATTTTTAATTAATTCCGAAAAAGTGTCGAATAAGTGTGTTTTTACACACTTAGCAAGGGGTAAATTGGTAATGTGGTGTGTGGCACCACTATCCACTACCCATGGTTCTCGATCAAAATGAGAAGAAGTGGCTGAACCTGCAAAGGAAAGGCTTGGGTTCTTGAGGAGTTCCATCAATTGAGCATATTGATCGGTGGAGAGACCATGGATTCCACTCACGGTTGAAGGGGCACTGGTAGCGGTGGTAGCGGACACTTGATGAATAGTCAGCGAGGAAAAAATTGATGCGCTGCGTTTATTCTTGGACGGCCACCAATCCGAGTATCCAATAATTTCGAAACATTTGTTCCTTTGGTGACTCAGTTTACTACAAGCTTCACATAGAGGTGTCCTAGCAGGCCGTACACGGCGGGGACGAGATGAGGTGTTGGGCAGCGTAGAGCGGACAGTTAGGGCTGAACATCCGGTTGAGATGGGGATAATTGAACCAAACACTGCGTTTCTTCTTGATGGAGGATGGCATAGCAGCGACCAATAAATGGAAGTGGATCTATAGCTAAAATCTGGGAATGAAGCTGTTGGGAGCTCTCGTTTAGGCCCATGAGAAATTGATAGACTCAGTCCGTTTCTTGAAGTTCAGGATGAGATTTTGAAGCACCGCATGTACATGGATTCGTGGGTTGTGAGGAGGCTAATTCATTCCATACCTCCTTCAATTTCCATAGTATGTTGTGATTGATTGTTGTTCTCGGTGAAAATTGGCCAAATCTCATTTAATTTGGATGATTTTGGTACTATTGCTTTGTTGAGAATGGGTTTCTAGCTCCACCCACAAGTCGTTCGGTGTGGCACAGAGGCTACCTGTAAGTGACCATCAATTGAGTGTAGAAGCCATGACATTATCATGTCACAGCAACGGTCCCAAAGTATTCCTGCAGCGTTGTCATCAGTAGGACATTTGATGGTGCCGAGAACAAAGCCTAATTTGTTCTTGGCATTCAATGCACGAGTGATTGCTCGGCACCAGGCCGGATAGTTGTCGCCATTAAGAGGTGTATCAACAAGAATTTGGTTTGGTTTATCGGATGAGTGCAGGAAGTATGGGGATGAAGCATTTGTAAGGAATTTGTTGGCATCCAAGGCACGGACAGAAGAAGGGTCGGCCATGGCAGGAACCAAGGTATGGAAAACGAAACCCAATGCTTTGATATCATGTTAAATTTCATATGGAATGAAGTAATTTTCATTGAATCGATATACAGTATATTGGTGTATTAATACATGTAAAATCTGTTATGTAAGGAAATAAACTAATCTAGGACAAAATATTCTATTAAGTAAATAATCTAGAAATAAATGCTATGATGGTAATTAAATCTCAATAATCACGGTTACTAGAAGAAACCATAAAATTTATCAGTGAAGATTTTATTGCAGTGGTCACTTCAAGATTTTGAGACATTGTATCGATTATAAGCTAAAAATCCTATAAAAATTATATGATCCGGTATGTGGAACCAAAACTGATGCTTGTGGATTTCATTTATAATGCAATTTTCCACAATATTTGAAGAATATAATCAAAGATGGGCTGTAAGATGTAGACCTTATAACTTCAAAACTTAAGGGCATGTTCTCTTTATCGTTTTCAAGCCGTTTTCTGTTTTCGATTTTCCAAAATAGTGAAAACGCGTTCTCTTTCCTATTTTCCAAAATGCGTTTTTGAAAACGACTTTAAAATTTATAAAGAAAACACAAAACGACAAAAATGTCGTTTTGAGTGTTTTCAGTTATAATTTGGCCAAAATTTCCAAAACGTGTCTTTGTTGTTTTCAACCCAACCGCCAACCTTCACCGCCTGCACCAACCACTGCCATCACCGCCGACCACCTCCAACCACC